ATCTTCCTATGAATCCATAAACAAGTTGTTTTGTGAGATCTGACACACCAAGAGAGAGCTACTACTGAAGCCTCAGAGTTAAACAGTGGCATTTTTTCCCCACTAGGCTTGAATGTATTTTGTCTCAGACTGCCTTAAAGTTGAATGTACACTCACCAGTCACTTTATTAGGTACACCCAGTAAAGTGAAGGTTGGTAAGATGGATTAATTGAATGATGGAACACTTAAGCCCAAAGATGAATGAGTGGTGAAAGACAGACAGCTGGTGGTTAGGGAGGTTATGTGTAGTCTGAGAAAAACATCAATTTATGCTGTGAGAGAACCATGCATTACTGAGGGGGTGACAAATTTTCAGAAGAGGAAAGGCAAGATCCTGTGTACTAAGACAGAGGAAAAGGAAGCCTGCTCAGTTTCCTGAAGCTATGAATGCATATAGAAAGGAGGAGGGAGGGCTTTTTGGAACCCAAGAGCAGTGTCTAACTCTGTACTGTCTGTGAAGCCTCCAAATACTGTAACTTAAAGTGAAATGAGATGGTATCTCAGGTATGAGAAAAGAGGATGTTTTGCCATGATAAATGGTTAGTCATTACTTTGGTACGAGCTTTTTTCACAGTGTTACAATGAGGACAAGTGAAAAGAGGAGATGAGATTGAGTAACCACAGATTCCACCTTGCTGTGATACATTGCCTTGAATGAACTCTTCCTCATTTCCATAAACCCAGTGAAGCTGGCTAATAAATGATTGGTATTCTCCTCCCGGCGTGGCCCTGCTCTTCGATAAGCCCTGTGTGCACAAAGCCAGAGCCCTCAGCATGATCTCATTTCCTGTCTCCCCACCAGCACAAACAAACACCGTCAAAGGCACAATTGTTCTGCTTCTCTGAGCATTGATGGTGGAGCTACTGTTGTGTCTGAGTTGTTCACACAAAAACAAACCACAATAATGCACGCGCACACAAACCCAAGCCGCAGTCACCTCTGGGTGCCGAGAGCGTCTGCAAGAGTTCACTCCATGTATTGTGGTTTCCCACACAGTTGACGCTCATAAATACACAGTGTAGCAGACATAGAAATGTTCACAACATAACCCGCCTGTGGAGTAGTGATAACTGGGGCTAAACAAAGGCCTTTTAATGTCAGTGTAAGCCCTTGTCCTGAAGGGAGCTTTGTGTGTATGTGTGTGTGCATCTGTCTATCTGTTTGCACATGAAACATGTTTGTTTATGCTGCTCATTTCTTTGTATTTGTCGGAAAAACTTAGATAAAATTAATGACTGAATGAAACAGAGGAGTGAGGAAAAAGTTTGTCAACCAACGCTCCCAGCACCTCTCATGCTGTGAATGAGCAGAAGAAATAGTAGAGTGCAGTAAAGTTGCAAAGAGAGACTGCTGGAGTTTCCAGGTCAGCAAAACGGACAGTTTATGCAAGAATTCTGTTCAGCAGATGGGTGCTGACAGTGTAAAACAGAACAGAGCTGTAAAACAGATGTACTTTTTTGCATTTGTTGTGTTCATTCTTAAAATAGCTTATTCTCTATTTCTAGTCATGGTGAGAAACCACCGGTGATCATAATTTGCTTGATTTGAGTTTGATTATTAATTTTCAAGAGCTTGTTAAATTTGAATTAGTTAAATTTATATTTGAAGGCATTTTCCTGTCACTAGTCACTGATTCACAGTTTCCTAAGCTTTGGAAATCAAGCCAGAAAGCCATGCTGGTTCCCAGATATGACTTTTTAAAAAGAACA